ACAGTCCCTTCTCACCACCCAAAAATACTCAGGAAGACAAAGGTAGCTGTCACAAAGGGTAGACAGATTTGTGTGTGTTCAATGCCATTAATGTATTCAGAAGGGGCCAGTAAGAAAATGGCTTGAAAAAGCTCTAGAATAATCAACTGGCCCAACTGTAGCTAATGAGATGTTGTCCTCTCAGCCGCCTGAACAGAAACTATGTCCTTAATTATTATAGTGTTAAAGGCAATTTTCTCATTTGCCAAAAAACATATCTTTTGGGAGTGTAACAAAGCTACCATTCTTTTTGTAGACTTTATACATGCATTGTTCATGTGAGCTCCTGCAGCTGAGTAAGAAAGAGGCAGGCAGTGGTGGTGCAAAAAGTGGGCCACTCTGTGTTTTGTCCAAACCAGCAGCGGCTCTACCAACACCATAGGGCCCCAGTGCCAGGTATGACCTCATCATGGCAAGACTAGAGACGCCTTTAGAGTCTTTACCACAATGTACAGTGTCATAATTCTCTGCTTATATATAGCTTACTCTCCTCTGCCCTCATCTACAACATATAATCAATTACAACTATAACACAAATTTAAATGCGTGCAGTATGTACAGTATTTCTGGTTGTTATTTGGTTGTTAATCCACAGTTATATGCAATATAACGCTAGTCTGTTTTAGAGGTTAAGATACCTGGCATGGTCGTTCATGGAAATAATTAGATGCCATTGTGAAGACCATTCCACAGAGCAAAAACATATATAGTTAATTGTTTTAAATAGTTTGGGATGCAGCTTGTCACAACCATCCGACCTTGCTAGCTACTTTTCAACCACAAACACAAAAAGACTATGTGAAAAGTCCTATTTACTTTCTGACATAAGGGGGGGCATATATTTAATCTGTCACTACAGCCTTTCTTTGCTTTAACAATGCTTAATTGTTTCTCTGAGAACTTCAGGTTCCATGAACAGGAATTTTCTGGTTTATTATGTTCTTGCCAAATTCCGATCTCTGTTTTCCTTCTGGTGCTCACAAAGGACTAATAACTTACTGTCAACTATGAGGCAAGTCACAAAGCTCCACTGTAGCTCTGCAAATAGACTTGTGTTCGCTGGAAAACTGTGAAATGAACAGCAAACGCCACATAGACCAGACAACTGGATTTCACCTTGTGCTGGAAGTTAGTTTCCCTTGACCTGCTTGTTGTTGGATCATTTTGGACTTCTTTATAGATAAGTCTCTAGACTTGGGACAGGGTTTGTTTGTGACAAAATGTATTAGGGCTGCACGACATTTCAAATATGTAATCGCAATATTTCTGAGCAAGACAGAAATTGTTATGCAAACTTTTAAAATCTGTTTTTTTAAGAAAAAGTTACTTTTTGTTCAGAGTGATAAATAGATATAGATCATAAATCATATAGTGTATATATGAAGTAATTATCTGATATTGTACATAATTCCTATATATTCTTGAAAATTATTAACTAGAAAAACAATACTGAGTACAAGATTCACTGCCAAAATTCCTAAAATATATAAAAGCTTCTTTCTATATATAGAATCTATGTAAGAGGAAATATATGAGATGTTTCATTTGGAATGAGATAAATAATGTTTTCACCTGACAACAAAACAAATCTTCAAAATATCTTCAAATCAAGGTAATTCTTTGTAAAATGTATATGATAATGTGATAGATGTGTAGATTTGATTTTCTATCAATCTTGCAGCCCTAAAATGTATGGCAGCCAACTTGTGCAGTCGTGTATGTATCTAGTCTGAGCAGAGTGGGCTGTGGGAGCCCTCTGAACTGCAGCCTGGGAGGCTTCCACCTGCAGCCTCTCTCCAGACTCTGTCAAGCAGCTGTACGAGTGTTTAAAGTGACACACAAGGCAGTTCCTCCAGTAGCATATTATTGCAAATAATTTAGCCGCCTAAGTAATTATGACTACGCTGCTCAGTATGTAAAGTGTATACTTCAGGTGGCTTGCTTAATTTGCTCTGGGCGGCTAGCCTTCGAGTGTGGGCTTTAGCTGCGGTAACTGTGGCACTTTCTAATAGAAAAGGCATCAGGAGAGGGTGTTAAGTGACGATGGAGTGTTCATGTAATTGAGTTGACTTTTTGCAGGGGAAGGTCAACAATAATGGAGGAACAATTGAAACAAATTCATTTAGACAAGTCTCCTGTGACTGGGATGTTGCTGGCTTGTTGAAAAGTCTGTATTTTCACTAGCATTTAAGATTTTTAGTATCATCATCTGCAATTACATTTTGTCAGCTGAGGTTGATGGTAGTTTTTGTCTTCACAAGGCTTACTGGAAATTGATATCAAAAGTTTATGTTAGCCTTTATCTGCTTCTATATTGTGTACAAAGAATCAGAGCAGAAAAAGTGCAGTGTGTGCTGCAGTTATTACGTGTTGATTATGTATCTAGAAATCTGGCTTCTGCACAGCATGGCACAATCACAATAGAGAGTGATAATTTAATTGTGCTAAACGGTGGATTCGTGTCAGTGCTGCTCCAGCTGGGAGCTGTCAGGTTGTAATATCTCATTATGGCAGGTGAGGAACCCAGAGGAAGCCTGCCCTAGCACCTGTTAGAACAGGACCGGCCCCGGAGGACTTTTCACACGGCTGTGCACTACCCCCACCACCTTTCACGTTCATTTAAACTTACATACAAAATCTACCCTTAACATTTTATGAATTTAGCAAAAGGAATATATACACTATCACTATAGTACAAGATTGGTATTGTTGCAAACCATTTAACCAAACCAATCACATTAGAATACAAGTAATATTAAAAATAGCTTTGAAGTATATGCTTATTGGTTTATCATATCATTCTGGTTTTGCATTCTTGACTCCATAAATGCTGCAACATTATGGAGGAGTGTTTTTGAAAGCTCCTGCAGCACTGTTCTGATGAAAGAGAACAGGTGCCAGATCCTTTGAGAGCTTTTAATAGTGACAATTACCGCAGACACCCCCCAAGTTCAGCCACACACAAACTTCTCAGACAGACGGCGTACGTAAACAGCGCATCAATATTTTCTTTTTGGCAGCGTGAATCCGTTTTACTTGAATTTATGCCGAACACTTACGCAGCCATGACCAGTATAGATTTGATGCATGCAAACAGGGTGGGCTGGCAAGGATCCCCGGTGTGAGGTTACCCATCACCATTGTCTATAAAAGGTAAACAGCTTAACAGAGCAGATAGTGTGGGTGACAGGCAGTTGGACCCTTTTATGATGAAAGAGGAAACAGGATAGCTCAGGACACATGGCTGAGCGTCACAAGACCCCGAGATGAGCAGCCCACAACACCCCTCTAATACCCAGCCAATTAAAAAGAGGTTGTTTTGCACCATGATGAAACATTATCGCCGGGAACAATTCATGACTCAAAGCATTCCTTGCCATATGAGTCCTCGACTAGAGAACTTAGTCTTAAGCCTGTTTATGTCTGTAATATTGTGAGGTATATTTAGCACAGGCTTCATATTGATGTGAACTGCACTTGTACAATAGTGTGTTTCGCTGAACTCAGACAGAAGAGCAGTGATTTGTGTCCTTATTGATTACTCCGCATGTTAGCTGTCTATTGTTATTGTGTAATCAAGCATGAGGGAGGCATCACATGGGATTTATAAGCTTTCTTTATTGTTCTATCAGGGGAATTTTTCATTTATTTTAGCCTGAACTATCTGTAAAGCTTACAATTTTGCATCTCAACCTTGTGCTTTGATGTTGTTAAGCAGATTTTATGTTGACTTGAATTTTATTTATCTGGTCGATACAAATACGCGAACATTTTTAAATGGTTAGATGAATTAGACTGCCACCGGCCCTTTCCCTTTCACATGTCATGAATAGTTTTGTATGAGTCTGGTCAGAGGTGGGGGTGGTTGCACTCTTTAGCTGCCTGAGCGCAGCCCTCCGAGCTCAACTAATAAATTATTAACTCCTGCTGACAAATACTGTTATGGAGACTGGTGCAGATCTGTTGCATTCTTTAACAAGATTGCTGTAGACACATGCTACAAGAATATTGGCCTCTCTTCTATTCTCTCACTCATGCCTCAGCAGTTTGACTGATGGCTGGAGACCAAAGTAAAAGTGCCTGAGAGACTGAATATTTAAGCGGTAAAATACAATTCAAACGTAGCGCTTTGTTTTACTCTCACTCCACTGAGACCACTGCGCCTGCTGCACTTTGAGCTGAAGCATTTTGGAGGCATTAATAAAATAATGAAATTCCTTTACACAGACAAGAGAGTTGTTACAGACTTTGTCACAGCTTTTATTACTGCATGAATAGATATTCCGTATAATTTTATGAAAGACACGTATGCATGTGCCATTGACTTGTCCACTTTTTTTTGTACAGCTGTTGACACAGGGGATTAACATGGATCATTGTTCAGGTCCTCACTGTGCACGTCTTGTTTATTCACATTGTCACCCACAGGGGTCAATTACAAAAGTATTGTTTTTTTTGCATTTATGACAAATGCAAAGAAGCTAAACATTTCACTGAACCTCTTTGAGTGAAGAGAAAAGACATCTTAAAAGGTGTGTTTGTCTAAAATAATCTAGAAGTAGTCTTCACTCTATCAGTACGGTGATCTCTATATAAATGATATTCCACATTTGCAATTATATCTTCAACCACATGCTTTTAATTATTCAATGCTGCTTAGTGCAAGAATGAGGTGTTGGTAATTTTGAGAAAGGGTTGTAAACATTTATCATAAAAAATAATATTCTGCTAAAGTAAAATCAATGAAACAAAACACCTGATAAGTGTCAAGTAGACGCTTCACTGTAAAATTCATGAAAGTTTGTTGTCATGGTGAAGGTGTGTTTTTTGTTGGTCTGTCAATCTCTTGTCATAATCAACATTTGTAAATGTAAGCATTCCTCTATAATAATACCCCTTTAGGAGAATGCAATGAATCATGAAGGTGGATGGACGTTTAACCCGCACTTCTTTCTTCACAGCCGAGTCATGTCTTCCAAAGCAGCCACATCTCCCTTTGCTTCAGTGGTGGATGGAGAAGACCCCATGAGCCAGGACCACTTGTCATGGGAGAAAGAGGATGGTGCAGAGGCTCACTGCACTCCTCAGCTGCCTCTGCACACTCTGCTCCATGGAAAAGGCCACCCTGAAGAGGTGCAGCCCCTCAGCAGTCTGCCCCCAGAGAGCGACTGGGACAACCTGCTGTCCGCACAGCAACGCATGGTACAATCCTCTTCTCCATTTCCATGAATGGATTAAAATAATCAAATTCAATATTAGTGCTTTAATTCAATTCACATTTAGCCATGTAAAATGTGTAAAAAATAAACATTATTACAAAATCGCTGATAAATGATAGTCTATATAGATGTATTGAGTGGATGTCCCAACCCCCTCTTAGCAGGGGCTCATTGTTGCTTCCTCGCCCAAAAAATGAGTTTATCACAGGCTCCAGCTACTCAGTCCCTTAATGCTGTGAAACCTCAGGGATTCGGGGGTCTGCCCATTTGTGGCTTTGCCAAAAACTAAACCATTAGCTATTATTAGGTTAAACTGAGGACCTCTAACTGTTCCCCACATGTTCAAATCCCTGTCTCTGTTTTGAGCAAAGCTTGTTTCTTCTGAAATGTCACGTCCATCTTGAAGGTGAAAAGATTCGGCCTTCTTTGATATAAGCCCACAGTCAGGAAGAGCTTCAGCACTTGTGTGCTACAGACAGAGGAGGCAGGTGGTTGTCTGTGACAGACGGCTCAGTGGAAAAGAGACCCAGAGGGCCTCTGAAGTAGCACTGCAGTTGGCTCCTGCAATCCTCTGCATCTGAACATTGCAGCATAATCACACACATCCATATCATTAGTTCCAGGACAAAAGCCTCTCATGAGGTGGGGGGGAGGAGGTGTACACCCCGGCTTCTCACTTTTCTCTGGTATACAACCTACAAGTACCTGTATATACACACAGTTTAATAAATTAAAGGTGACAATAATTTGTCAATGTGAATAGTGCAATCCCTACTGTAGGTCTAGGAACACATAACATCTCATAGGCTGTGTCTGCGTGGCTTGTGCCCTGACCCAGAGCCAGCTGATTAACCTGCTGTAGCCCCCTTCACCCCTCTGCCACACGCCCTAATCAGTGACTCTGGCACTGAGGCAGGAGCAGTGGGCTTCTCTGTGATACCACTAATGCACATGATGCAGACCACATACACACCTGTGAGGCGCTGCATGCTGGCAGCTCAAGTGTGATAGTCATCCTTCTAACTCTTCTCCCTTCCAGTACTCTTTCCCCTCATATCTTTGTTTGTGCACAGAGAGCACTTAGCCAGTCAGCCAGAGACAGGACCTTTAGTTAAATACTAAACCATACACAGGTGGGACTGAAAAACAACAACAGCCCAAGACAGGACACAGATTTATGATGGCTCAAGGCACTCAGCTGAGAATAGCGCTCCAGTCGAAAATGAACAAATTACACAGCAGTCACCGTAACACAAATGCACACTCAAAAGCAATTTGAGAAATTACAGTTGGGAGGTTTCTCTGTGTAGTCTCGGCACATGAAAAGTAAAGCCGGAGCACATTATGGATATGGCCTATGAAAATGTACCTCATCATTTCATCTCCATTTTTCACGTGTCGTATCTCATTTACCAGTGCGGCGCGTCCTGTTGAAGACACAGTTTGAAAGCAGCGGAGAAGTCAAATCACTCTGAGCTGCAAAAACCTAGCAATCACCGCGTTTCAATAGCGGACTGTCAAAAAGCTCAATGGTGCTTTGATGGAGCGCAAAAACACACTTATCATTTAATAAAACCCTCATCCCTTGTTGCCCCTTCTTCCAACATTTGTTTGTCTTTACAGGAATCTGACAGCAATAAAGTATGTTCCCTGTACTCCTACCGGAACAATTCCACTTCCCCGCACAAGCCGGAGGAGGGGGCCCGGGAGCGAGGCGACATGCTGAGTGGATCGGCCTTTGGAACTCCTGAGCGACGCAAAGGAAGCCTGGCTGACGTTGTGGACACGCTGAAGCAAAAGAAACTGGAGGAGATGACAAAGACAGAGCAAGACGGTATGCCTGTGTGTGTGTGTGTATGTGTGTGAGCAATTTAAAGCTCTGGAAAAATAATAGTCTTCAGTAATATTAAAGCTGAGGTACTTAACTTTCAAATCATGGAAAATGGACCTATGTTATAAAATCCATCTTTCTGGATTCTGGCTTTTACACAGGTTGCTTCATATTTTCACATGCATGTATTTTTGGCTTCAGTCGCATCTGTAGATCAGCTTTTTCAGACAGAGAGGTGAAAAAGAGCGTACCACCCTCACTCAGCCAATCTGCTCCCATCCCAAAGTGTCAAATAGTGACTCACAGGGCTCAGTCTTATTATAGTCGTATTCTAATAAGATAAAGACAGCATGTTGTGGTCCGATATATTCAGTGTGGGTGACAGGCAGTTGCAGTTTACTTTAATAAGACTTTCTATTGGAAGAAATAAATTGTATTGTTAATAAAAAAAGCGTGGTACCCCAACTTTTAATTCTCTGCTATAAAGTAGCAGTTGGCCTATATATATATATATATATATATATATATATATATATATATATATATATATATATATATATATACAGTATATATATAATTATTTTTTTGCATTCCCCTTGTTTGGAAATAGCACCGTTGTATCACATCAACAGAACATGCATTCAATTAACTTTCCCTTAATTTATAATGCATATTTGTTCTTCTTTTCCTCACTTATATTTTCCCTGGCTGTAAAATAATTCATATTTTCTTGAGTTACATAGTGTGTGTGTGTGTGTGTGTGATATATATATTTTTTTTACAATATACAACTGACAAAACCATATGTTGGGAGTTCTGACGTGTTTCCAGTGTTTGTTTTGACCCTTTTCCAATGCGACAAATCCTATAGAGCACAGTGCAGCAGCAGAAGTGTGGTTTTCCCTTGTGCCAAGTCCAACTCCACAACTGTAAAAAATTATAAACCTATGTTAATGCCAGGAAAATTGCCCTTTTATTATTCCACTGAACACTTATCACATTGAAGCCAGTGAAGTCAGCAAACTACCGTATACCGTAGATACTCCCCCACATACTTCACAGCGCACATATTTTTTAAATTTATTGTCACATTCATACGTTTTCTTGGTCGGCTTTTCCTCCTACAACCTACAGTTTATCACGAGTATGGCAGAAAAACAAATATTTGAAAGCCTTGCTGAAACACATCTCCCTTCTTAATTAGGCTGTAGTAATAAAACTACATCCAATCAAATGTTAAAGCCTCTCGGGAATGCATGTGTCTCATTTAGTGTCTGGGGAGCTCTTTGCTTAAGCACTTCATCAGATGAATAAATTAGTCTAAAATAATTTCCCTCTTTTTGTGCAAGTGTTCGATGGCTGATCTTTGTATAATTCTCGAACCGTGCATTTAGGCGCACGCTAAGGTCATTAAATAAGATCGTTTTTTCACATAATTGAGGTGCTTTGAAATTGACCCAAAGAAAATTATTTTAATTGTATCACATTTTCTTCTTGTAACTTTTTGTTGTATCTACAGGAGCTAATGTAGATACAAGTATTGATGCAATTTTATTTTGTTTTACAGAGTACATTCATTTCATAAAGGACATCCGTGTTTTGGCTATCCTCAGGTTGATTTGATAAAGTTATTCTGAAACTTAAAGGAGTGCGTATAAGAGTGGCGAGATTGCATTCGTTCATCTCATTTCTCCACACTCTTGCGGTGTATTTCTGATGGGCTGAATTTCCAGACAGAATTGTCAGAGCTCTGTGTAGTGATGGCGGCTGTTATGGTAATGAGCCCCAGCTGGTGAAGGCTGGTTGTTGCAGTAATTTAAATGGTCAAGTGCAGCTTGTAATCCAGGGCCGTATGTTAGCACAGTGAGGAGAGGCTGCTTTAGAGTGCCATACAGCTGTTTTAATCTCCTGTTAATAATAGAGCCTGGGTCTGTCTCATGTACGGCGCATCATCGCCACCAAAATAAACTCCCTTGTTGGAGGAAATTAGTTTCTGAGCAGGGAGCACGACACAAGACAAGAGGCTCAGAAAGTTCAGCAGGCTGTCCCCAAAGCCCCAACCAGAGAGATACTCCGGGTGAGGGCACTTTAGAAAGCCTCTTTGGAGATGATCATGATGGCTCTAAAAGAATTGGCCGTGGCTAAAAAGTTAAAGGATGTTTCCTGAGGCCTCTGTGAACTTCCAATAGTGTGTGATTGTTTGTGTAATTGCCCATGCGTGGAAATAGAAAAGAAGAGGATTAACTTGTTAAGATCATAGAAGAAGGAAGAGGCCATTTGTTGTCTTAATGATGTTGCTAATGTAGCACAAGCAACAGATGAGCTAAATATATCGCTTATCTAAGCATGACAACTGTTGTGTCTAATTCTGCTGCTCGTCAGGATCACTGAGGTCCTCGGAGACTCTTCACCATCTGCTGCCTTTCTTTTCTGGGTTTTCTTGTCTGGTCAAGAAAGTTCATTGTCCCAACTAATTGACAGTACATAGCACTTATATGGTCCGTGTGTGTTCACTTATGTAAAACAAACGTTGTTGCAGTTGTGTGATGTAGTGATGGCGTTGTTGACAATACTAATGTATCGTGTGGGGGGAATCTGATATGAGAATATAATTAAATAATGAATGTGAAATACTTAGTGATCATTTTTCATTTTTATTATTAATACAATTCAGTCGTTAATGTATTGTCCATCCATTCGTTCGAATCCTTTAGCCTGTGCTTTCCTCATACCTCCCTGCTCTTTCTGGTCCTTAAAGTGCTTGTGGCTGTGCTAATGAATGAAAATATCCTCCCAGCATGAGCAAATGCATTTAGCTGAATAGTCACCTTTGCTGTAAAAGCTCTATTAGATCCAGTTGCCAGCAGGGCTAACGATTGTGCCCCATGTTTATTTACTAGGCATTGTAAATGTATTATTTATGGATAAGTCTCCCGACAGTCGTTGTCATGAGTTTAAAATGTCAGTATGAAGTATTAGGGGGAAAAAAAGAAATACAACGACCATTATAAAATATGAAGGTGACCTTGATTTAAATCACATGCAATTAGAAAAATTTTATATAATGCACTCAAGCAGTAATCAATACATGCACGAGGACAGCAGTAGTAGTGTTTAGCCTTAATGGTCGTCCCCAAAACAAGGACAGGGCTTAGTCGTATTCTCTGTGGTTCCTGATAAAACTATGCAGCTACATGCATTTTATAGATATCTACAGTATGTCATTTAAACACAAAAGATGACGGTGAGGAAAGGTGACATGAATCAGTGGCCAACTCAGAGCTGGACCAGATGCATTCACATGTATTTACTGTTGCCTGTGGCTTTATTACCTCTATCTATTTGTGAGTGTAATCCGCTGCTGGAGGTGTGCATTATCACTGTGTAATGACTGAGCGCTAGGTTGAGTATGGAGCACTGATCAGCATTGTGTTTGTAGCCCTGGGTCATTATCCTCCATTACAACAGCCCGTGTAATGAGATTCAGGGCCAGTCGAGGGCTTTGGGAGGGAAAAATATCAGCTTTAAGCCTGTGCTGTGGCTAGCACTGGTGAACCCTCCACTCAGTGTCACTGCTCCTGCTGACTCCACACACTGTAGGGGCTCCACTACGACAAAAGACCCTTACATATTAGCGATAGAATAGTGGATACAGGGTCAAGACTATGTCTATTATGTACATGATTTCTAAAGAAAAAAATAATTAGAAATGGCTTTCTTCTTTACTCCCATGTTCAGTCTATTTTATCCTCCCTGACATGGATCACCTCCAATCAACAGATTTTTTTGTTATAATTATCTGCATTTTGCGCTTCAATGCAAAACGTACATAGAATGGCCAAACATTGATATTTCTCCAGCTCTTACTTACATCAGACAAACCACACACCCTTCGCCACCAGTTTGTTTACTCATATTGCAAATGAGATTACATTAGTTTTTGTTTCGACTGGGGCTACTCAGATGTTTGAATGTGTAGCGTTTTGGCCTGTGGTGCTCCGGCCCAGCAGAGCAGTGTGATGGTCTGTCACTTTTGTTTGAATAGGTAATGTAGATCTGTTCAGGCTGAGGAGACATGAGCTGGAATCGCTTGTTAGGACACATGATCAAAAGCCCCTCTGCTCTTTGCCAATCAACCCTCTTGTCACTTCATGAAGCAGATGTAAAAATGTTCAGCTGAAAGCAGTGGGCAGCCCAAATTTCAACAATGTGGACGGACCTTTATTTGTCTGTTTGAAAATTTTCCGACCTTTTCTTTGTGCATCCCTGTTCTTTAAGGCACTTTATCTTGGCCAATAACATATTTTTCTTACTCCGTCACTTCCTGGTTCACTCTTGCTCCAATGCCAGGCTGTGTGTTTAGGCCAGGCCTGAGTGGGTGTCTGATTTAATAGGTGTACAGGTGCCCAATCTTCTGCTAAATTATGTATTTACTATTTGGTTCCAAATTGGGCCTCAAATAGTCAGGCCTATAGCCAGAGATGTGGCACCACAGGTTTCCTGTTACACTATTTGAGATATAGATTTTGTTGCCCTCATTCTGCTGTCTTCGTCATTCAGATGACAAAACAAACAGCTGCTTCTTCAATGTGCCATTCTTTGCATTCAAGATCACCTTCCCCACTTCTCATATTCCGATTAGTCAACAGTAGCAACTGCTGTGGAGCATTCCAGGGACCATCTTCCTGGGTTTCAGCTGTTGAGCTAGTCCCCCTGCACCCATGTAGCACAAAACTCCCATTGTGATCCTGCTTAGTGGCTGCACAGGAACCCCTTGATAGGAGGAAACGGGTGTCTCTGCGAGACAAATCACAGCCAGGGCCGCACAAAGTCTTGTTTGTCCTCACACTCAGTCACTCACTCACATGCACAAACACACACACATGCACACCACAGACACACACACTTTTCACACACACACACACACACACACACACACACACACACACACACACACACGCGTACATACACACACACAAACCATACTTATGATTATACACAAT